GGCCTGGATATGCGATTGAAAACTATAAGTTACTTTTATTTTTTTCATTACGCTATGCGAACACAATGCAAATTATCGCACTTTGTTCACAGTTCTGCGAATAATAATTTCCCTTCGAGTATTGTCGCTGATTTTACTGGCAAAACTCTGTTGACGGATATTAATGGTTTCATTGTCCATGCAACATATTGTTTTGTTTTGACATATGAATCATGATTAAACACATACTTGACAGAAGAAAAAATATTTATTATTGCTGCAGTCAGTCCAACATTTGCCACGGAAGCGGATCGCGATCTTTTTCAAAGGGTGAAATCCTTTCCATTTTTTTTTTATTTTTTTTTTGCTGCGATGGAAAGATAGGGTTTTGAGAAGTGAAAGGTCGCTTATTCAACAAAGAGAATGAAAGGTTAAAAAATACAGATAGCACTTAAAGGGTAGGTAGAGATATACATCAACTTGACAACTAAATGAGGAAGCATGCAAATCGTCATTGTTTTTTAGGTGTAAAAGAAGACAATCAATCAATGCGGTGCGTAACTTATGCGAATAATATGCGAAGCATTTTCGATTTGGATATGCAGTGCAGACAATCAATCAATGCGGTGCGTAACGTATGCGAATAATATGCGCAGCACTTTCGATTTTGATATGCGGTGCAGACAATCAATCAATGCGGTCCATATGGATATGCGAAAAAAATGGCGGATAGTCGTAAATTATGCGGCTTTCGATTTGGATATACAATTCGTTAATTATGCAGTTGAAGACTAGGCAAATCATCCTAGTTGTGCGATTATTATGGGATATGATATGGGAATCGCACAATCAACCCAATTGTGCGATTATTATGGGACATGTTATGCGAATCGCGCAATCAACCCAGTTTCACTAATTTTTGTTAGTCAATCGTGTGCAGGTCACAAATTAGGGCACCAACACAGTATTTTTCTGGTTAAAAGTATTGTTTTCGTTAAATTGGTTTACAATTAAAAACTTCATCTTCATCTTAATTGTCATGGATTGGACGTGATGGACAAGATGACGATTTGTGACCTGTTTCTTTACATGTACGACATCTCCTCGGGCGTCTTGGATGAGGAGTTGGTGCGTTTTGACCTTCTTCATTTGAAAAAAAAGTCATTATCACCATCGTATAGAGGGCACTTCGGCCTGTTATGCCCGGTGACCCCACACCGTGAGCACATCTGCTGACGCCGTACTCGACGTGATGATCCTTCTCCAGCGGAATAACGTTGAGTCCGTGGCCGACCTTCTTGTTTGGGATCATTTGGCAGAATTACCTTTTTACGCATAATTTTCGGGGGCAAGTGCCATTCATCTGGATGCGGGACGAGGCTAACGGTGCTTTGGTACATCCTTGTAACTGAGTAGGTTTTGTAATGGTCATTAACGAAATCCATTATATCTAACCCGGCTTCTCTGTTACATATCGTAAATGCAGATCATATATATAGCAATTTTTTTTAAGAAAAAAGCGATAATGTTGTTTGGTAAACATTACCGAATAGTCGTAGATGCATGTAAGCAAGGTAGTAGATCTGTTTCAAACACACGACAATCACATGTTCTTGCCTCCAAATCTACCACGTAGGATCGTGTTTCTTCCATAACCCTATAACGTTGCATGTCGAGTGTGGTAATGGATAGAGTACGACCTTTCTCGAACAAAGGATCCAACCGCAATTGAGTCCACTGCGTCAGCGGATGATTGCGACCCTCGGCGGATGCACGCCGAACAGCAAACCATTTCTCTATCGTTGCTCGAACACACTCCAACAACGAGCAAACGGGTAACATCCTGGCCCAACGGAGTGTGTTTTTCAAACTTTCGCATGAATTAGATGTCATGAATCCATAGCGCCGTACAGGTGTAAAACACCTCGCCCAAGCATTTATCGGAATTTAATTAGTTAGCTTTTTAAATGCTTCGGGTTTTAGGCTTTGGATGGATGGCAAGTAACGATAGAAGTTTTCACGCCGATAACAATATACCGCCATGTAAAATATGCCCAAGACAGATTTCCCAAAAGGCCTCATTTGTTTTGTGATGTGATAACAGCAAAATGAATGATGCGCCTCGGGGAACACTATTGGGATAGAATATATGATAGACTCATGTCTATCCGATACGATGAGGAGGTTATCAGGACAACCATAGGCCCTTTTCAATTGAGTCAAAAACCAACTTCAAGTCTCACGACGCTCTACATCACCAATGCCAACTGCGAGGGGAAAGATTTGGTGATTCCCGTCCAATGTGGCTGCAACAAACATAATGCCCTTGTATTTTCCCTTAAAGTGAGTACCATCTATCACAATTACCGAGACACCAGCTCGTTGAAAGCCCTTAATGCTAGCTCCTAGAGCAAAGAACAAGTGTTGGAATACCTTACCATCTCGTTACAGTTCGACAATCGTACCTGGATTACGAACCTGCAACATGTGCAAACCGGGAAGCCGCCCCCATGATTCTTCATGACCTCCATAAACTTTTTCAAAATCACGGTGTCTTGCTCGGAGGGACACATTGTAGCTGATCGACAAACCATGCTCCTCCCGCATTTGTTCAATAATTCTCCTTGTAGATACAGTCTGGGGATTTGTCTGAATAGTTGATGCGTAAATATGAGCGAGAACCTTGGAATTAGCCGAACGGTGTTGATTGTGCGTCAAACTCCCTTCGCATGTATGCTCGAGTTTAAAAGTAGTGATTCTCTATACATCTCGCTTTGCCCTTGCACATAACTTGTAAGAACACCCTTCATACCGACAAACAGATTGTAACCTAGAAGTGCAGGATTTGGGTGTTCGACACTCAACTTTTTGTTGCAAGAGATACAGTTGAATGGCACAAATCAACTCTTCTTTTGAAAGAAAGACAGACCCCAAAGATAATTTTATATTGTTCGAGGGTAAGTGGATGGGTTGTCTATCTGATCCAGTTGTCGTGGGCGGCATAGGAAGGGACCACATTCGTGGCTCAACGTCGGATTGCCGGGTGCTACCTCGATTCATATATGCAAGACTTTCAACCTCAATATGGTCGGTGATTAATCTTAGCTCTTCAATATGCTCGCTATACCACTCCTGAAAAGCTTGAACATTTGCTTCTCATGTACCTCTTTGTCTTCATCGCCTGAATCACCATTGTGCGTGTTGGTTTGGTCATCATTATTGTCATCGTCACGAGAATGACCTGGTTGGTTCGAACAACCCGCGGTTTGATCATCAGCGCCCCGAGGATATCCAGTATGTGTAAATGAACTAGGGCCTGCTTGATGTGAATATGGGGCCTCGTGGGAAAATGCAAAACTACCAACACCAAAAGAACTCGGAAATACACCTTGGGACGCCATCATTTGCGTGAAGCTTTGTTGTGCCGTCCCCAGAACACCTACATTTACTCGCTTCTCCAACTCCACGTAAATGTTGGGAGTTTTTTGTTCTTCAATCAGCTCTATGATATCCTCACTGGATTCAATTTTCATCTTCACTTTTCGTTCCCTTCCATCAAATACTGCCCAAAATATGTACTCAAATTACAAGGATCGGCCTTCAATAATGCTTGAACACGAGAAACTACTTTAGAATACATTTGGCGGCCGTAATTTATTCTCATCAGCTCTGCCACTCCACCAAGATATGAACCCCTGGAAAACATACCACCATAGCTCACGCATACTCTAACACGGGTGCTAGCCATTCAAATAAGTGACAACAAAAGGAATTAAAACGAAAGAAACAGAAAATTGCAGTAGAGAAGAATGGTGCAGACGTTGAATTGTTAGAGATCACTATTTTTTTGCCTGCATGATAAATGCACAGACAAAATCCTCACCTGTGAAAAAGCAGTCAATTAATGAGGTGCGTAACTTATGCGACAAATATGCGATCAAATTCCGAATAGTCGTAAAATTTCCATGACGGTATGGCCCTGCGAAAAAATGGCGCGTAATCGTCAATTAAATTATGCTTTATTCGATTTTGTTATGCGATTCTTCAATATGCGAGCGAAAAAATGTTCCATCATTGTCAATTATCCGGCGGATATATGCAAAAGTTTTTCGCATACTAGTAAATTATGCGATTGACTTGGATATGCAATTTCCAGAAAATGTGAATTCAACAGATAATGCGAATTATATGCGAAAAGTTTTCGCACAGTCATAAATTTGCAAGGTCGATATAGCCCTGCGAAATAAGGCGCATAATCATCGTAAATTATGTTGCATTCGATTTTGATATGCGATTCTTAAAACTGCGAAAGATGTTCACATATTTGTAAATTATGCGTTTGATGTGGATATGCGATTAGAAAAATGCGAAATATTTCGCATAGTCATAAATTATGCGTCCGCTTAGATATGCGCTGGTTCATTTGGACATGCAACTGTAATATCGCATAGCATTTCGTGAGTTTTGGGGTGTAAAAGAAGTTATTTGATGGGGCGGTGTGTAAAAGAAAGAATAGATTTATAACAGGGTGAAAAAGATTTTGACCCAATAATTTATATATTTGATTCCAATTTTTTTAATTTCAACTTTTAATTGAGTTTATATATCTTTTTAATTGTGTGGTAATATATAAATATATATATATATATACATGTATATATATATACACACACATGCTTTGAAATCATTACGATATTAATTATAGATTTTTTAAATAATTTGTCACTACTAAAACAATAACAATAATTCGATTCAGCTAGAGATAAAGAAAAGTTGGGTTGTAAGATTGAATTGTGTAGACAGAGGGGAGAGAAATAATTTTTGATTATTAGATAATCCTTTAAAATTTCCGAAAATACATCTATCTCTTATATATACACACACTACACGCTACAAGAAGAGCAACATTTAATATATATATATATAAAAAAAAAGCCATTGGAAAAATACATCCTCCACCTTTACCTGCAGCTCTCGGATCTAAGCTGCCATCCTCTCCATCGTCAGGTCGTGTTGAGCTCTCAAGGCTGAGTTGATGGAAATTTGACTTTCTCCCTCCTTGTCGGTACAATGAGGTTCACTGCACTCGACACCTGCGGTTGAACGAACCTGGCTGCAACATCTTCTGCGATCATCTGGTTGAGCTCATCCTGGTGACCGTCACAACCTGCTCGCCTACTGGAGCACCTTTTGTTGTCGCCGGCGACCTCCTTCCTTCTTCTTGAAGTGGGTTTTGTTGTGTCGGAATCGCCGGTACCATCTCGTACCCAATCTACCTTATGGTTGGGTAATCAGTCCACTGGTTGCTGCTACGGACACCGAAGAACCTCCATGACCCAGCAGGTTGGGAATCTGGGTAATCGGCGTCATAATGGACCTCGAAAAGCCTGGTGGTTGGCTTGATCCAATCAGAAGACTGGAAACCCAAGCCTTGTCACAGTTGGGTTCTAGGTTCTTTCTGGTATCATTGCTCGCCACGGCTGGTCTCGGGTGGCTTTTTGAACGAGTCCCACAGACGATGATTGATAGTGCAAAACGTCCTCAACTCGGTCCAACGTTTTTGGATATGTCCTTGAACCGGTGTAATGACTGGCAGAATAGCGTCGAGGTGTTGCCCCGTTGTAGAAGCTTTGACGTTCAAGTCAGTACAGGGATGAAGATGAACTGTATGTATAGGAGTTTAGAATATTAAGAGTGTGCAAGAGATGATGATAAGCCCCAAACCTTTCCATAGAGATGTTACCTTGTTGCCCAAGATCTGTCTGATCTGGCTGCCTAAGTGCACGAACTACCTGATCACATTGCCCGGGTGCCCGAACTGCCTAGTCCTGTTAAACACGTGTCCTTACCTATGTGTCCCTCTTATCCTAATTATATTTGTACTTAGTTATTATCTGGTGTGTTCACATTAGCCTACCTTATTAGGTAGTCGCTTTAAGTATAATCGTGCTATTGACTCGAATCCTCTTAAATGGGTCATTCTGGTCTTCAATGAACAAGTCCGCTTTTTAAGTCTACAATCGACCTCCACACTTCTATGTCGAGTTTCCATCAGACTATCTTACAGTCCTAACTTGACGTAGTTTGCTTCGGAGGTCTTCATCGACTCGGTAGTCTCTCGACCTTGAGTCTTTTTGTTGTCCGTCTGACCTGTGATCGAGTTCTCAATCTACTCAAACCGCTCGAGATGATCTTAAGTTTTGCACAACCAAATGTTTGGTACAGCATACCATTATCACATAGAATTTTTATCGTTAAATTAAAAGTATATATAAAAAATAAATAAATAAATATTATGCAAACCAAGTATGATCACACCAAACTATCAACCAGGTCTTGAGTGGGTCAAACCTTAAGTCAACCAAGTTGTCATTGAGTCAGTCTGGTAATCTGGACCCTGGCCTGGACCGACCGTGAAACAATGCGAATGACCAACCAGGGTAGGGTCAAAACTATGCAAACCAAGTATGATCACACCAATATCAACCAAAACACGAGTTTTCTTTTCATTGCAGGAAAGCTTTCAAATAAGATACACAACAGCATAAATTTTCTGCAAAACCGAACATGTAATTATACACATGACCACCACTTTGGAAACTTATCCGTGTCTGTGAAGGCAAATACAGAGTTACCAACCTCGTCGGGCACTGTTCTTTTTACAAACACAATTTTAAAAACACAAAGCACACGAGAAAGCTAGAATTACAAATATTTGACCAACAAGTAAATGACTGCAACCAAAACTACAATCCTTACGACAGATAGTAGGAGGTGCAAGCAGGAGCAGCCACCCTTAGTCCTCTTGTTTAATCTCGCAAGCCTCCTTTGTACTTGCTGCTTGAATAGAAACAAAACAGAAAAGGGTAAAAATCAAATTGGCATGTCGGGACAAATGCCCTCTACACTGGTGCAAAATATATGGTTACAGTTTTAAGATATCCTTCTTGACATATTAGAAGAGGAACAAATTAAAACGATTGTATTTTAGGTTCGCAAGTACAGTTGTTGAATTTGGTATTTGGATTCTTTAATCGGAGCACCATCTATTGTTCACTCCTTATTATATGATTCTACTATAGGCATGTTTGCAAACAAAGGGGGTAGGCCGGGCACTTCTCGGGTTTCAGCAAGAAAAGTCATTTTTAATTTTTGCAAATGCTATTTTATTACTTCGACATATTCAGAAGCAGTGATGCAGTGCTTCCGAGTTTTGGAAAAGGCCTTTTGGTATCTTTGTAAAGTTGAAAGAAGTCTGCCAAGGAGATTCTTACAATTGAACTTTTATCAGTCCTAAAAATCCCCTTTCTCTTGGTAGCAGATTTTAAAAAACAAATAAATGAAACTTTTATTGTTACTTCCTTCAACTTTCAGCATCAATTTGCACGCATATCTAACTTATGAGCCCAAATGCTTTAGTTTCTATTAGATCGCTTCTTCTAGAAACAAGATAAGACTTCATCACCTCAAAGCTGAAATGATAAAACCTACAATGACCATAAAGATTATACCGAAAAGCACATTCTAGTGAAATTTATCATGATTCGAGAACTTGAGCAAAAGCAACAGTCACCTGTAATCTGGAGTCTGTAACATCAACATGCTCATCCAGATTATCCTGCAAATCAGCAGATGAAAACTTCCATAATAGAAGCATCTAAAAGTTGATGGTGCATTATTGGCTTTATTAGGTAACAGAGAATAGTATATATGAAAGGATAAAAAGGATAACCCACAATTAGTCTTGTATGTAAATCAAGCTCTTCATTCACCGCCAGTGCAATATGTTTGGTGCTGCTCACTGTCTCCTCCAATTTCTCAAGACCCTCATCTTGTTCTGCAGGGATTATAACATACAGACAGAAAAGAAACAACTTTCAAAAGGATAAATAATAAAAAAGAAAAATTTCCAAATAAGAGTCAAGAAATGTGTCCCAGCAACTAGCCTTTCATGACTTGTCGTTGAAGACCAACGACACCATGGTTATCAAGGCCACTTATTCTGCTCATTGCATCAACAGGCTTCATCTCAGGGCCAAGTAAGCTGTCTCTATTCGCAGAATTTGACATGTTCAGAGTAGAAGCCATCTGGTTTACTTTTGATCTCAGACAAGCAACCATGTCCCTACGACGATTCATTTCTTTCTCGGACCTGCAAATGGAAATCAACAGGTCAAAAGAGAGCACAGGAAATTTAGCTCAACGAGCAAAGAAAAAGGTTAACCCAATCCAAACAAATTACTAAAAGGTTGTTACAGTTACTTAACAGAAGACATTGATTAGGCGAATCCAAGACAAAATTAAAGAAATTCGAGTACAAGGCGGAACAAAGTAGTCAGTTAATGCTTTTCTATGTCCACAAGAGAAATATTAGCGTGATCGAGAAATCGGTGAATGAATAATAAGTATACAACTGGAAACTTAAAAGTCGCTCTAGGTATAATTATTTGGAACCTGTCAAACATTAGCTCACAATACATCATCCTGATCATCATTACACGCCCGAAATTGTGAAGTGGAATTATTATAGATAGAGGGCAGATATTAAAGAGGTTAGAGGATTAAAGCATATCTAACCAAAGTACAGGCAACAATGGTTGGTAACACAGGAAGAAATATGCACAATCTTATTTATTATTACAATCTAATAACACGCTTACAGATCTTTACAACAGAGGGGCTGTAACTCACAAAGATTGCTTGACAGGAAGCTTTGACAGAAAAGACTGTAGGTTGTCCAGTCTGGTTCCAAGTATGGTGATTTTCCTCCGTATGGCCGAAGCATACCGCTGGGCTTCTGGCCCGGATGCTGGCAATGAGTTCCTTTCAGTTATCATGTTCGTTATGTCATCAGCAAGTTTGATTGCTTCATTATATTCTCTCACCCATGAGTCTCCTGAAGCTGCCATTGTCTGACAAAGGAAAGGTAACAAATTTTCCCACTGTTAGGTCACATTTACTAAACCAGTAGGGCAAACATCCATAAAATCAAGTCCAATATTCATTTAACAACTATATCATCAGGACTTGTTCTAACGAATGAGAGCTAAAAGGTAAGTGTTCAGGTGCTCAGATTAGCCTTCTCCGCGTCAGATGATGAGCCCATGCTCCCTCTCTTTTATTGGCGCCTGGCTATTAGATTGAGTCGAAAGCCTACCAACGCATAAGGGTGGAGATTCGAGCGAGAGCTCGACCTTCGATTCACTCGTGGGATGCGTGTTGGGCCCCACGGAAAAAGTAATGATGCCGACTCTCTCTTCTATTACGAAGACCGGCTTGACCGATGAAGTTCAGGATCTGGACATAACAAAGAAATCACCCTTCACATGTGAAATTATCGATCTCCCTTAAGAAAATACTATTGATTGCAGCTTTCTCTAGACCTCCAGGAAAGCATAATAATAAAAAAAAAACAAAACGGCTCGAATGGTACGATCCCTCCGTCACCCCAGAATGAAGGGGGTGATCTCGAAGTTCTTGGTCCGTGAGGATGCGTTGCAACGTGCTCCATTTTTTATTCCCATTGAGGCCGAACATAAACATGTGCTCCAGAGATAGATGTCCATGCACTAATAAGGGATGTATGGATTCTCGAGAAGAGTGGAGTCGTAGTGGTGTCCCCCCCACCCCCCGGACTGCCCGGCGAAGCTCCTCTATTGCGCTCGGCCCTATGGTGGCATCTTAACAATAAAAAAGTTGAGTTTGGCGCCCTTTTATGGTGAGTGATATAAGTTAAAATGGTGCCTTATTAGGCCTGGACCCTCCTTGCTCCTGGGGATCTTGGAGAGGAATTTTTTCAGCTTCCACTTCAGGCATGGTTTTCTCAAAATTAGTTTAAATCAAGGGAGAACCATGCCAATGAGTCAAATTTATTGCTCAGGCCTTTCAACTAGGCTGGCAAAACAGAGCTTGGCAAGTTTGCAAACAAACTGTAATCGTTGAAGGCATTCCGGCTACGTTCTTTCATTTTCAATTCCTTTCGGGTCGGAAACGCGGGCTGCTGGCGGGGCAACCAAAGGAATAAGGATTGATGAAATCGACTCGCTTTAAAGTATGATAGAGGCGGGTGATGATAAGACTTTGCTTCTTTTAAAATAAAATTGAACCCTAGCAAGTGGCCGAATTCAGAAACAGGATTAAGCTCAATTACATCATTTGCCTTCTTGTTCGCCTGCCTGCTTCCAAAGTCTGATGAGGATATTGATGATCCTTCTTGCCAGAAAGTGCATCTGCCTTTTTCGATTAACAAGCAGCAGATCCGGCAAAGTGATATCAAATGGCCGGCAGAAGGACAACAGGAATTACGGGTGATCCGAGTTCAGATGACCAAAGATCGTAAAGACATTGTTGAGGAAAAAAAAAACAGACAATCAAGCCTATGTCTTTCTCGATTCAAAACTACACAATCGGCATAATTCAAGATTCAATGAACTCTCACATATTGATATTTCAGATAATCAGGCTACAGGGTGAGTTTTCTCCCAAGATAAACTCACAAAAAGGGGGGGAAATCAAATCACACCATCTCTGGTTCCAATGCTACGCCGTGAACCGCAGCACGGCCATGACGTGGTTCATTTTGTATTATAGAGAATCTAAAGTCATGACGAGTTCAGGATTTCAAGTTTCAAGTGCAAATTTGAAGCAGCCAAAAGCACAGAAGACCACAAATTGCTGGAAAACGACAATCTGACATCTCCATGAGACTCAATCTCCATCAACAAAACATTAGGAAATTAAATCCCACCAACAGTATAAACCACAATAGAATGCAGAATGAACAGATAAATTAAAGGACCCTCAACGGCTCAATCCAAAATCTACAATATGTGCATTGTTGGGAAAAATATGCTGAAATTTCTATGAAGTCGGATCTATAAAAGTGAAATAAAAAAATTGGACACACCAAATTGATAACGGAGTTCGGCCAATAATGCCTACGTCTCCGGACTACTGCAGATATTTTATTGGGAAAAAGAAATACACTCGTGTTTACAAAACACTCTCAAAACCACTCACAACTCACAACTCAAAAATACACACAAAGGCTAATTATTTTTAGCACTCTCTCTCTCTTTCTTTTCTCTTGAAATGTTGCTGTATTTTTTATGTTGTGATTTCCTCTGAAGTTTGCTCCTCTATTTATAGAGGAAATATGCATCCAATTTTCCACAAAGGTGAGCATATCTCTGCATTTTTTTCCACAGAATTGTGCTGCGTTTTTCTTTCTTTTGCAGCTATCAAAAAGAGTGGGCAGCAGCCCTTTTTGACTCCACAATCTCCCACTTGAGGACTGATTTCAATCTGTCCTCACACATCAATTACTGCAGTAGTCGTCTCTGGTCTGTTAATCTAGCAAGCCAACTGAAGTTGAACACAACTTCAGTTTGTCAATGGTCACCACCTTCGTTAGCATATCTGCCGGGTTCTTGCTTCCCACAATCTTTTTCAAAGTCAACACTTCATCCTCAAGAAGAGATCTGATGAAATGATATCGAATGTCAATGTGCTTAGTTTTGGAGTGAAACACTGAGTTCTTTGCCAGATGTATTGCACTCTGACTGTCACTGTGCAAGACACTCTCCTTTTGAGTGAAACCCAACTCTACTAACAATCCTTGAAGCCATATCAATTCTTTGCTGGCTTCTGTTACTGCTACATACTCAGCCTCTGTAGTGGATAGAGCAACAATCTTTTGTATCCGCGATATCCAACTAACAGCTGTAGCCCCGACAGTGAAAACATAACCGGTGGTGCTTCTC